ATGGATCTACATCCAATATATAAATAACAACACTCCCCATTAAACAACCCCATTAAAAACACGCAAAACAAAATCTAGATACCTTACAGAAAAGCTATACACATGGCAAATAAGCATGTGAATAGATGCCCAACATCCTGTGTAATCAGGGATTTGCAAATTAAAACAAAAAGATACTTCTACAAACCTATTAGAATGATAAAATCCTAAAACAAAATCAAGTGCTGGCAGGAATGGAGAGCAACAGGAACTTTGATTCATTGTTGGTAGAAATGAAAATGGTACAGCCGCTCTGAAAGACAGCTGGCAGTCTCTTAACAAAACTACATACAGTTCTCCATGCTACCCATCTACTGCACTCCTTGGGATTTACATGACAGGAAAATTTATGCTCACACAAAAGCTTACACATGAATGGTTTGAGAACTTTTACTCATTATTGGCAGGATATGGAGGCAAATGATGTCCTCCAATAGATGAATAAACAAACACTCGGTGAAATGTTGTTCCATGCCCAAAAGAAATGAACTATCAAGCCATGAAAAGACATGAAAGAACATTAAATTCTGGGGCTGGGGATTTAGCTCAGCAGCACAGCGCCTGCCTGGCAGGCGCAATGTTGTGAGTTCCCATTTCTGGTACCGGAAAAAAACCAAAAACCAAAAAAAAAAAGAAAAAAGAACGTTAAATTCATATTTCTAACTAAAAGTAACCAGTCTGAAAAAGCTGTGTGTTGCCAGGTGTCGTAGAGCACGGCTGTAATCCCAGGATTTGGGAGGCTGAAACAGGAGGATTGTTGCAAGTTCAAGGCCAGGATGGGCTACAAAGTGAGTTCAAGATCAGCCTAAACTACATAGGGAGACCGTGTCTCAAAAAATAAACAAACAAATAAAACAATGCTAAGTGATAGTGAGACTTTTGCTCTTCCCCCCCTCTACTGCTGGTTTAATCAGGACTCTTAAGAAGTTCAGTAGCTGTCCCACAGCTACTGTGGAGTTGACAGAGATGAGTGTGGCCACAAACTTAGTTATAGTAAGTTGACTTACTTTAAGAAGGCAAGGAGTTCTAACCCCTTCATTTCATTTCCTGGACAGAAATAATGAAACACGATCGCTCACACTCACTTCCTTTGCACTGTTTGATAAGAGCTGAGCTCTGTCCCTGCAAAAATCACCTCTTGAAGTCGTAATCCTAGCACCTCAGAATGTGACTGTATTAGGAGACAGGGTCTTAAGGAGGTGATTAAAGTGAAGTCAGTGGCGTGGCTCCTCAACCACTGCACGGTGGCCCGATTGCTCTTCTTTTTTTTTTTTTTTTTTTTTTTTTTTTTTTTTTTTTTTT